GAGCTCGGAGCTCTCAATGCAGGAGAGAGAGAGAGGGAGAGGGAGAGAGGGAGAGAGAGGGAGAGGGAGAGGTGCAGGGAGAGGGAGAGAGAGAGGGAGAGGGAGAGGACATCAATCATCTACTTATGGTTAGGACTCAAACCACCAATCTTTTAGGGGAGGGGCAGTTGGATCAAAACAGCAATTTATAGTTTCTACTAGAGGAGGATTACGAGCCTTTCAGCTGTTCCCTTCACAACACACCAGCAAACACAAACTTCGGAGAAACAAATGCACTCAGCTCCATATTATTTGAGTTTATCCAGTATGCCAATTAACATAAAACTAACATGTACAAAGCAAACTGGGTGTGGTAAAGTATGTCTGTAATCCCACCACTAGATGGGTGAATGCAGGAAAGGGGGAAGTGGGAGGGAATGAAAGGGAACAAATCCTAATTGATAAAATTGGAATAGTTTAAATACAGGGTCTATTTTTGAAGGTCCTAGTACACTGGGGAGACAGCTCAACGCTGCAAGTCAGAAGAGTGTGCTGGTCCCTGCAACTAGAGTCACACAGCTGTGAGCTGCCGTGTGGATGCTGGAATTGAACCCGGGTCCTCTGGAAAAGCAGCCAGTGCTCTTAACCACTGAGCCAGCTCTCTAATTCCCAACTCATTTTTAAAAAGCAGGCATGTTTGTGTTTGTAATTCTAGCCCAGGGGAGGCAGAGACAGGCAGATCCCTGGAGCCTCATCAGTGAGCTCCAGGCCAATGGAAGATCCTGTCTCTGATCTGGGTCTGATAGTGCAGGCCTTTGATTCCAGCGCTTGGAAGGCAGAAGCAGGCAGATTTTTATGAGTTCCGGGCCAGCCTGGTCTACAAAGCAAGTTCGGGGCCAGACAGGGCTACACAGTGAGACACTGTCTTTAAAAAAAAAAAAAAAAAAGACAAAAACTGTCTTAATATGAGAGTAACTAAGAATTAGCTTATCGGGCTGGAGAGATGGCTGGGAGGTTAAGAGCCCTGGCTGCTCTTCCAGAGGTCCTGAGTTCAATTCCCAGCAACCACATGGTGGCTCACAACCATCTGTAATGAGATCTGGTGCCCTCTTCCAGCCTGTAGGCAGAACATTGTATACATAATAAATAAATAAATATTTTTTTTTAAAAAAAAGGATTAGCTTATCAAACTGCATAGAACTAAAAACACACAATAGCCAGGCTTGATAGTGCACATCTTTAATGCCAGCATTCGAGAGGTAGAGGTAAGTGAATCTCTCTGAGTTTGAAGCCAGCTGGTCCACACTGTGAGTCCCAGGCCAGCCAGGGTTACACAGTGAGAGCCTGTCTCAAAATAAATAAATAAAAATAATAATAATAATAAACTATGCAATAGACCCCCACAACACAACTTATGGAGTAGAGATTACTAAAAGTCCCACCACCTTGGACCCAATCCTAAGAAGTTTACCAAAGCTAACATTATAAGTATACAGAGGCTCTCTGAAGTACTGAAGGGAATTTTATTAACAGATTTCTCTTCACTGCAAGGCCTGCCCACCCTCAATTCTAGACTGCTTATAGCAAACTTAAGTATACAGAAGATCTGGCTCAGATGTGGACTAAGTTTAGAGATTCTCAGGAAGCTATTAAATTTGTATCTTTAATTTAGACTGCTTACATCATTTCCCATGAATGCAAACAATGTCAAATTATTTCCTTTGACAAAGTGAGGTGAAGAATGGGATTATCGTCTCTGAGAATCCTTCCCCGTACTCTGTAATGCGGGGCATCAAACTCATGGCTTCCTGCATGCTGAGCAAAAGCTCTACCACTGAGCTACACTCTCAACCTGAGGCTTGCTTAATTTTTCATTCATGAAAAAATGAGGAAGTCAGTTACGGTACTATCCCTTGTCCAAAGAGACAAGGGTCCTACTGCGGAACACGGGAGTCCAGAGTTTCAGGTTAGACAACATTGCTGCTGTACTGGACACTTCACTCTCAGGGTTCCATCATTCTAACAGTACCTCGGCACACCACAGCTTCTTGCTACTCACGGGTATCATTACACAGATATTCAGCAAGATGGAGAACAATATGATTAACATTTTACCATGGCCAAGATAGGAAAGAAAGGGTAAGCTGCAATGAAATAGGTAAAGTTAGAGATAAGGAGTCTGGAAGCCCGTCCACATGACCTGGAAGGGCGGCCATCACTCATCATCTTCATTCTTTTATTCTACTCCCTTCTGAAAAGTAAAAAGGGAACTCAAGAGCCCACAAGATGACTACGTAGGTGAAGGCCTTGCTGCCAAGCCTGATGACCTGAGCTGGGTCCCTGGGACTCAAACAGTAAGAAGGAGAAAATCGACTCCTGCCAAGTTTTCCTCTGCGCTCCACGTGGAAGCTGTATCATGCACATGTCCCCCCCCCCCACACACACACACATACTCACACACAGAATAAATATGCAAACAAATACAAATTTTTTAAAACTGAAAATAAATGTCTGAACAGATAGGAACTCCTGCAGAAGTGGCTACTGCGTGAACTGCACACACCTGGCTTGTGACAGCCAACGCCTCTCCGTTCAACAGTCTCACTGGTCTGAGGCTCCAACTACACTAGGCCGGCTGGACAGTGAGCGCCAGAAAGCCACTTGCCTCTGTCTCCCTAGCACTGGATGACAAGATGGAGGGAAGGGAAAGAGGGGGGCTGAAGGAAGACAGCAAAGGGGGAAGGGACAGACAGAAGGAAGGAAGAAAGGGGGAAAGAAGGAGGAGGTAGAAGGGAGGGAGGGGTAGAGAGGAAAGGAAGGAGGGTAGAAGGACAGATGTATGGCCGAGGGGACACAGCAGAGGTAAGCTCCATGGTGTACACATGGTCAGGAAGGTGCCAGAAGTAAGCAGTGGCAAGTGCGGTTATAACTTGGCTCTCCCTTCTCAAGGCGCCTTAGACCCCTCCTTCTCCTGCCCCTGCCATTTGGAGAACAAGCACGAAACTGTGAGCGGAGCTGTCTCTTCTCCCCAACTACTGGAAAAGCAGGAGCTGGGGCTCTACTGTGCAAGCATACGTGCACATAAGAAAGCTCCTGTCTGCAGGGGGTGTGCTGCACAGCTTTAATCCCACTAGTGCGGCAGATTTCTGAGTTCAAGGCCAGCCTGGTCTACAGAGAGCGTTCTAGTATAGCCTGGGCTACATAGACTCTGTCTCAAAAAGGGGAGGGGGGCAGGAAGGAAAAAAGGAAGGAAAAAAGGAAAGCAAGCGGGCTGGAGAGATGGCTCAGCGGTTAAGTGCACTGACTGCTCTTCCAGAGGACCTGGGTTCAATTCCCAGGAACCACATAGTGGCTCATAACCATCTGTAATGAGATCTGGTGCCCTCTTCTGGCCTGCAGGCATACATGCAGGCAGAACACTGTATACACAACAAATAAATCTTTAAAAATAAATAAATAAATAAAATACAATAAAGAAGGAAACCACTGTCACAGAACTGCTAGTTGATGCCAGAACTTTAGTATGTGAGTGATGATCTTCTCTTCTGCTACCACTATTGACTACCACAATGAAATTACGGCTTTCAAAACTACACGTAGCTCTGGGACATTCTTTTCTTTTGAGGTTTCTGAACTTTCAAATCAGCATTAAAAGCATTTCCACCATATTTAATCTGTGAAGATTAAGATTGAGGAATCGATGGAATTCTGTTTTGAATTAAAGAACATATGGAAGATTAGGATGAACAAGACACCTATGGTCACACTTGCATGAACACACGGGGTCACGTGCCGAGGTCAGGCGCTGTGACGCTCCTGCAGCTCCTCAGGCACACTTGAAAAGGGTTCCACACACTCTGTTTTGCTTTCCTCATTATAACCTCTCTTGATACTTCATGTCTCTATCTTCCATTTTGCCAGGGTAGCAAACCCGGAAAGAAAGCTAAAAAAGGAAACAAAACCTGGAAGCGTTCACTCTTCCTCCATTTCCTGTCCCTAGGAACATGAAGCATCGTGCAGGAAGCCAGCTCCTACCGCGCCTCCCTAACATATGCTCACTCTACAAAATGCACTATCAAGTTACATCTCGCTCTCTAACAAATTATAATCGGATAAATCTAGGTAGAAAAACAATTTCTAATGAGATCAATTCCCAGACTTACTTAAACACAAAACTAAAACCTAATACAATACTTGCAAAATCATTCGAACACTTACTAAAGGAACAGCCTCAAAACATACAGACATAAGTAAGTATTACTGCTCTACAACTATGTTTGGCGTTAACTCTCTGCAGTTCCCGGGGATCACTGCAGGCTGGCCTCACGCACGCCAGCACACACTTGACCTTTGTTTACTACCTCAACTTGATTCCCCACCCCTGTGCTTTGGTTTGCTTTACTTTCACAGGGGCCCGTGCGTGCTGGGCAAGCGCTCTAGCACTGAGCTCCACACATTCCCCAGTGGCAACAACTACCCTTCTAACAATCTGTGCACACAGGTGATCTTACCCTTCTGGCTTTGTTTCCTAGACATTGCAGTTTTCCCAGTGTCAAAAAAATAATAACAATACAGAAGAAAATATCTTTGTCCAAGTTCTAGGAATCCTGCTAATTTAAAAGTGGGCAATAGACGTCTGTAGTTAGAAGTAACAAATGCAAAATCCTGGTTGTTTAAAGTTCTCTTCACTAGTTGTTAATTTCTCTTCCTTCTCTGGCATCAACTTCTTGTCAGGATGTATCATTGCAGACAGTCATGTCTTTTTCCAGGGAGATTCTAGAAAAAAAAATACAAACATATTTACTATTGCAGTAATGAGTATCAGTAAAAACTGTAAGTGACATTTGTGGGTTTTGAATTTCTGTGAAAGCACCATTTTCTGAAGAAAACTTCACCATCATGCTTTCTTCCTGGTCCCTTTTCCTCTTTGGGACTCACCAGATCGCTGACACGTTAGCCTGCCCACGGGGCACAGAGACAGAAGCATAGCTCTAATCCTTCACGAAAGCATCTTTTTGCATGGAGGTTATTATAGAAAGCCACATGATCCCAACGCAGAGAACTACTCTCCAGGGGTGCCCAGCCCAAACCGATACATCTACAACACAACCCCTATACGTAAGGCTTGGGGGACATAGTGGAAGATGGGGTGGAAAGATTGTAAGAGACAGGAAATCTGCTGCAAGACTGTCTAGATATGACAGGGAAGCTATACCCATGACACTCAACTGTATATATAGTTGCCCAAACAAGACCTGAACAATGACGACACTAGTTGACAGGCCGTGGATGACGGAAATCTCCCCAGACCCCATCCTTAGATGAAAAAACATAGGCAATTAATAACTGCTGAGAGAAGAATTAGTCTTCCCCAGGGATGAGCTCCCTAAATGACTATCCAATCCCAAGTGGTCACTCCTAAAACCATAATACATAAAAGCAACACTAAATGTACTCAGCAAACTGCATTTATGTATTTTTGCATACATACATATAAGAATAATAACTAAAGGGACCTGAATTTGAAATAGGGAAGCAGAACATGGGAGAATTTGGAGAGGAAGGAAGAAATATTTTTGTTTGTTTGGTGACAAGGTTCCTCTGTGTAGCCCTGGCTGTCCTGGAACTCACTCTGTAGACCATGCTGGCCTGGGGCTCACAGAGATCCGCCTGCCTCTGCCTCCTGAGTGTTGGGATTAAAGGCATGCACCACCACTGTTCAGCTGATATAATTATATTTTAATTAAACACATTTTAAAAGAATACTTTCTTTTTTATTTTGAGATATTTTTATCTCTTCAAATTTGTTACTGATCAGGAGTAACTCTATTAAAAAATACAACTGAGGCCGGGTGGTAGCTGTGCATGCCTTTAATCCCAGCACTTGGGAGGCAGAGCCAGGCGGGTATCTGCGAGTTGGAGGCCAGCCTGGTCTACAGAGCAAGATCCAGGACAGAGAAACCCTGTCTCGAAAAACCAAAAAAAAAAAAAAAAAAAAAGACCTGAGTCCCATCATTACCGTCACCATGGCAGTGACTTGAAAAGAAAAACTGCACACATGAATATTTTGTTCCCCACTTTCAATCAGTAAGTAGTTGCCATTGATAATCAGATAGTCCTGGTCCGTTAAGAATGCTCAGGGTAACTGCTGCCCATGTTACAACCAAAGCCCACTGAGATATCTGTGCTCTGAGCTGCTGCCTGAAGCCACCTTAGTGTCTGTGGTTTCAGGAGCGTGGGCCCCACCCCTTTCCTGTCTGTACGTATAAAATTTTAGGGTGGTGCACACCTTTAATCCCAGCACTCTGGAGGTAGAGGCAGGTGGCTCTCTGTGAGTTCCAGGACAGCCAGAGCTACACACAGAGAAACACTGTCTCGGAAAACAAACAAACAAACAAACAAAAAAAAAAACACAACAAAAATTTAAAAACTCTTCAATGCACAGATCGTAATTATAAGTAAGCCTGACTTGTGCAGGAAAACTACAACAGCTTCCGACAGAAACTAAGAGCCCCAGCAGAGCGGACGGCAGCAGGCACAGTGGTCGGGCCCCTCACACCACAGAAAAGGAGCTGCTTCCTGCACTGTGTGAGCACCTCCAAGCAGACCTTCTGAAAAGGGGGTGGCTTTCATCTGCTGAGTCACTAAAACACACTGAATTATTTAGCAGCAGTTTAATTAAGCTTTCTTTACTTTTTCCTAGACAGTCAAATGTTGGTTTTAGCAACACCAAGAAAAAAATCATAATTAATTTAGTAGGAATAAAATATTATCCTGTTTTGTGATGATTCTTTAAATAGTGAATAATACAGATACTGAAGGCTGTTTTTAGGATTTATTTTTATGTTCTGTGTGGTGTAAGTGTTCCACATGCATGCAGAGATGAGAAGAGAGCACCAGATCCCCTGGACTGGGTTCTGGAGGGTTGCAGGGTGCCAGATCCTCCTCAAGAGCAGCAAATGCTTAGTCTCTAAGCCATCTCTCCAGTCCCAATCCAAGACTACTCCATCCGCTCAACTACTTAAAGAGACTTTCTGTTACTCTAATGCCTGGTTTATAAAAGCAGAGGAGAGGCTGGCGGGCATGCCATAATCCCAGCGCCTGCAGGCTGAAGCAGGAAGACTGCCGGGCGTCCAAGGCCAGCCTGGGATACATAGCAAAACCCTGCTTCCAAAAAACCAAACCATCCATCTAACCCATAACGTGGCTGGGGTCGGTTTGCTTTGCTTTTCTTGTGGTTGTTGTTATTTGAGGCAGGTTGTCACCGTGTGGCTCTGGGTGACCTGGAGCTCACAGACTGGCCCGTTTCTGTCTCTTCAGGGTTAAGACTAAAGACATACACCACTAAGTCCTACCCACGGGGCTGATTTAAATATTAGTCTTCTAATTCAAAGAGAGGTGGAATCTCTTGCTCACAGGGGAAATATTTAAGTCCTACTTTTAAGAAAAGTTTTGTTTGGTTTTTGTTGTCCATGACGATCTGCCTCCTTGAATGTAATGCTGGCATTACAAGGCTGTCCAGCCATGCTAGCCTGGTCTACACAAATGTCCAACTCAGTAAGCACTGTTTTCACAATGAGCCCCCACAACTACCTAGTCCCCTTTGCTTTGTTTGAAAGTTGTAATGTTTCAATAAAATTAACTTCAGACCTGTCAGAACTGCTGAGCATGGCAATACACATCTGTAACCTGAGTACCTAGAGGCCAACCTGAGCGACAGGGTGAGTTCTTGTCTCAAAAGTAAGGTCCTGGGTTGGAGGGACCGATGGTGCTGAGCGCCCAGGTTTGGATCTCGGCACTCAGCCACATGATGGCTCATAATCAACTTTAACTCCAGATCCAGGGGTCCCACACCCTTTTCTGATCTCCCTGGGCACCAGGCATGCAGAAGGCATATACACATTCATGCAGGCAAAACAATCATACATAATAAAATGTAAAAGGCTGGGCTGTAGCTCAATAGTAGAGTGCTTATCCAGAATGCAAATGAGCCTGGATTGATCCCAGCACTGAAGGAAAAAAATACCAGAAACAGCAGAGGCCCATGGTGGTGCCAGCCTAGAAGCCCAACACTCAGGAGGCGAAGGCAGAAGACCTGGAAGGTCAATATTAGCCTCAGCTACATTAGACTCTTTTCAAAACATTTAAAAACTGCCAGGTAGTGGTGGCAGCGCACGCCTTTAGTCCCAGCACTCGGGAGGCAGGCAGTTCTGAGACAGAGGCCAGCCTGGTCTACAGAGTGAGTTTCAGACAGCCAGGGCTACACAGAGAAACCCTGTCTCAAAAACAAAACATGGACCTAATATACCTTTACATCCCAGTGAGTATTTTCCCTTGCCAGCTGGGTTAAATAGATCTATACTTAGTTGTTATTTGTTTCTGCTTTTCTAAAATTCATTTTTTAATTATTTTATATACATTTGTGTTTTGCCTGCATGTATCTTCATGAGGGTGTCAGATTCCTTGGAACTGGAGTTACAGACAGCTGTGAGGAACCTTATGGGTGCTGGGAATTGAACCCAGGTCCTCTGGAAAAGCAGCTAGTGCTCTTAATCACCAAGCCATCTCTCCAGTCCCTGTTTTTGCTTTTGAGACAGGGTCTTAGGCTGTTCCTCAACTTGCTATGTTGCCAAGGATGACTTTAAATTCCATATTCTCCTGCCTCCACCTCCCAAGAAAAGGGCTTACAGACATAAAGGTAATTTTCTTTTCTTTCTGAGATGAGGCAGGGCTATGCTGCCCAGGCCAGCCTCATGTTCTTGGACTCAAGCAATTCTTCTGCCTCAGCCTCCCCTGTAGCAGGGACTACAGGCATCTTCCACCATGCCTACCTGTAATTAATTTAAAATGCTCCCATGCTTTAATATTAATATTAACTGGGTGTAGCTGCTCACGTCTGTAATGTTAGTATTCAGGAAGGTGAGGCAGGAGGATTAAGATTTGGGACGGCAGCCTGGACAACACAGTGAGACCCAGTCAAGAGAAAGGAGGCGGGGAGAGAGGGAGGGTGGATGGGAGTGAGCCATGGTCTGAGCTTGCCTCTTAAGTATTGTACTTATTTCTATGTGTGTATGCATGCATGTGGGTTGGGAACAGAAGCGGGCACTGAATCCCTTGGAACTGGAGTTAGAGGCAGTGTGGGAGCTTCCTGCTGTGGGTACTAGGAACTGAACTCAGGTCCTTTGCAAAAGCAGCAAGTGCTCTTAACTACTGGGCCATCTCTTCAGTCCCCAAGGCTCTTTTTGAAAGATGAAAATAGAAATATTTACACTACGGTGTGATCAATAGGAATGAACAGACTTTGAATTCAGACCTCTAGGTTTGAATTTTGACACTAATACGTAAATGTCTAACATTAGGCATGTTATTAACAATTATGTAGTGGCTGGGGAGTGTTGTGGAATATTATTTTAAGGTGTGTTACTTTTGTTTGTTGCATTTAACTCTGTGAAGCTGTATTACTGTGCCTGTCTAAAACCTGATAGTCTAATAAAGAGCTGAGTGGCAAATAGTGAGGTAGGAGAGAGAAATGGGTGGGGCTGGCAGGCAGAGAAGATAAATAGGAGAAATTTGGGAGGAGAAAAAGGAGGAGGAACCAGAGAGGAAGGAGGAGGACATAAGGGGCCAGCCACCCAGCTACATAGCAAGCCACGGAGTAAGAAATTAAGAAAGGTATACAGGGGCTGGAGAGATGGCTCAGAGGTTAAGAGCACTGGCTG